CCCGCCCCTCGGGGAGAGGCGCTCTGCCATTGGGCCGCGCAGGTGTCACTCAAGGGCACCGACGCTAGAGTGGGCGCCCGGCCGCAGGCAAAGCCCCCACACGCCCGAGGGCTGGGGGAGAGCTGCGGCGTGTGGCCGTCGTCTCCCTGGCCCTCTAGCCCGTCAGCACGCTCAGGGCTCCTCTAAGGCCGTGTCTTCTAAGTCTCGTCCCTCCTGTCCCCCGAGACCGGCAGCTCCCTGCAGGCGGGCGGCCGCTTACCTGGCCGCCGATTCAATTCAGCGTCGGGCGAGCGGCCTCTCGCGACCGTTAAACTTCAGGGAGCGTGCGCGCGCCCGGCGCCTGGTCGGCGATTGGCCGCTCGGGAGGGGGCGGAGACACTGAGCAGCTGCGCGCGCTGCGACCTCCCCCTTCCCTCCCCTCAGCTCGCGCGGGAGACGGAGGTCGAACGCCTGGGAACTGGTGCGGGGCGTGGTCATTGTCAAGCCCTCTCGTCTGATTGGTTCTCTGGCAGCTTTACCGGGAAGAGGCCTCAACATTCCGCATGCGCAGTTGGTAAGAAGGCGGCTGGGAGCCTCGGCTGAAGCACGGCGCATGCGCAGACGCGAGAGTGCGTTGCGATTCCTATTCGCCGGTGATTCTGGTTCCCACCAGGTCTTTGGGGGCGGAGGCCGATCGTGGGGTCGGGTAAGTGTCCGCGTAGAAATCCGGCACCCGCACGGTTACCCACGATTGTCAAGGGCTCTGGAAAGAAGACTGGGAGCCCGGACGCCTTGAGTTTTCCGGTTTGCGACCCTGAGTCGCGCAGCCTGTTGACCTGAGGCCCTGCTGGCGGTGCGGTGGAGCCGGTGCAGACACCTGAGCTGCTTTCCCTGCACCTGGTGTAGCCTAGGCTGTGGGGGGTCGGCCTTGGCGATCTTCAAGGACCGGGGGGAGGGGGGACAGGAGAGGGAAGCCCACGCCCTGCAGAAAACAGGACAAATGGAACGGTCCCCGTGGACTGTTCAGCAGAGCCTGTCGCGCCCGTAGCACGCACGCAGCAGGGCTGTTGCAGGCCTGGCACATAGTAGGTGTCAGCGTCGCTCCTGTCAGAGCTTTCAAAGGACGAGAGAGATCCCGCGCCCCTCGCCGTGGGCCCCCAGCCCCCCTCTCTCGCTCGGTTGCGTCCACATCCTTCAAGCTGGTGAGCCTTTCCGGTACTTGCAGCTTTGAGATTTCCCTCCAGGCGTCCCGAGTCCACAGCGCAGGGGCTTTGGCTGCCACTTAGAGCTGCCTGAGCGGGCGGGACCTCGGAGCTGTGCCTGCCCTTGGGACGAGGCCGCCCATCGCATCCCAGCCCGCCAAGAATCCCTAGCAATAACGTTTCAGCCGGAAAGCATCGTCTCCCACCCAGACCTCATGCGCGCCTGGAGGACGGCAAGCTTAAATGAATCGAACCCCCACCCACCCCACATTGTGTTAATCCACCCGCTGATATTATGCTCGTGTGATACCTAACCAAAGTCCAAATTATTTTCTTAATGGTGCTTTTATTTCATTCTTTTAAATATGTTTTTATTGACTTGAGAGACAGAGGAAGGGAAAGGGGAGAGGGAGAAACATCCAGAGAGTAACAGGGATCAGCTGCCTCCTGCACGCCCCCCACGGGGGGCTCTGCTCCAAAACCCAGGTATGTGCCTGCACTAGGAATGGAACCAGCACCCTCCTGGTTCATGTGTCCATGCTCAACCGCTGAGCCACACTGGCGGGGCGGAGTCTTTAAATTGACAGCTTTATGGCGGAGATCTCTCTGTCTTTTACATTGACTGGGATAAGATCAGGCTATTCAGCAACAGAGGTCGCTAGTAGCTTGAAAAATGTAGTGCCTGTTATCCAGGGGGTTATTTTGTGACGTTGGTTTTGTTTTGGTTTTTTTAAAATATATTTTATTGATTTTTTACAGAGAGGAAGGGAGAGGGATAGAGAGTTAGAAACATCAATGAGAGAGAAACATCAATCATCTGCCTCCTGCACACCCCCTACTGGGGATATGCCGCAACCAAGGTACATGCCCTTGATGGGAATCAATTCTGGGACCCTTGAGTCCGCAGGCCGATGCTGTATCCACTGAGCCAAACTGGCTAGGGCTGTCGTTGGTTTTTATATACAAAGTTTGTCATCGGGGGACCAGTTCTCCACAGCAAAAGAGGAACTCTAAAACTAAATCTATAGTTTATCCATTAAATATGGAAGTGATGAGGTATACATTTAAATACGGATTTTTTTTTTTCCATCTTTACCGACTTTTCTTACCATATTAGGTAATCCCTAAAGATCTCTAAGTTTGAACCAGGACTTGTTTGATGAAGGTGGGTTTTTATCTTTCCATTTGAACCTGCCGGAAAGTCCAGTTGTGTTCCTGGCATCATAATTTGTTCCTTGGCACCTGCTTTCCTGGATCACAATTATGACCTCACCTAACAGTATGTCTTTGGTACTTTCAAGGTTTCCAAGTACTTCTTGAATGGGACCATCCCCAGTAAAATAATGAGCAGGTCGCTGTTCTAGAAGCCTTTTCGCTCTGAGCTCTAATCAAATAAACACCCATGAAGTCGTGAGTTTGCAGAGTGGGTCTGTGCGCTGAGACCACAGTGTGTGTGGTGTGTCACGGGTTCCTGAGCTCCATGGTGTAGGGATCCGAAGTGCTCACTGCTTCACATTTGTGGCGACGTGTGATTTTTCTCACCCCAGCTGGTATTACTACCTCCGTCTTACAGATGAGCAAACATGGCCAGAGTTGCATAGAGAGTCGAGACATTGACACAGGTTGCTCTGACTACAAAGCAAGATAGCCTTTCAGGGGCCAAAGAAATGAGAGGAAGAAGAGTCAAGAAGAGAAAGTTGAGGGAATGAGCTAACACTTTAAAGAGCTAGGGAAAGGACTGGTCTGGAGATGTTACGAAAGGTAAAGAAACAAGCTGTAGAAAGGACCAATTTAGTTTAAGAAACGGACCAGCTGCCCTGGCTGGTGTGCTCAGTGGTTAGAGTGTTGGCCTTCAAGCCCACTTAGGGTCAGGAGTTTGATTCCCGGTCAAGGGCACGTACCTGGGTTGCAGGTTCCATCTCCAGCCCTGGTCAGGGTTCGTGCAGTAGGCAACCAATCAATGTGTTTCTCTCACATTGATGTTTCTCTTTCTTCCCCCTCCCTCCCTCCCACTCTCTCTACAAAATCAATGGAAAAAGTACCCTCAGGTGAGGATTGAAAAAAAAAAGGGGGGGGGAGGGGGACCAGCTAATGTTCTTCCAAGATAAGTCTGAACTAACCCAGGTAGTAGGCATCGCTTTATTTGTATCAAATACACTCCTACTTGAAAGTGCTTTTGACATTTAAGTCCCAGACAAACAGAAGCCATCATTATGGTAATAGAGGCGTGAGAATTTTTTAGGAGGAAATGTAGAGGATGGTTATTGCTGGTTTTTTATGTGCTTCTGTCTCATTTTAATAGCCTGGGTGTAAGTTATAAAGTTCCTGTTAGATGCCATAAATAGAAGACAGTCATGGTGATGCTCATGAATAGGACGGGTGTCATTCTCCATGGGGTCAGAGGTTTCTGTTTAAAAGAAAAACTGAACAGGGCGTTATGGGATGAATGGAAAGCTTTTCTCTTGATCTGCTTCATTGTTGCCTCTTGAACCGCAGCAAGAAGCCTATTAAACTTCGACCAGACCTAGAGTAGCCTCTCCTCTCCCCCCCAAATCCAAGATGATAACTGCATTTCCTGCTCAACCCGTTATGCTTGTCTTCTGGGAGAACCAAGTCTCTGCGACACTTCCTGTGGGAGAGGAAAGGCAGGGTCTGCTTCGGGCCTGAGCCGGCCCAGTGGCTCCATTTGGGAGGGGCTCCCTCTCAGAAGGGTTCCAGGCAACTAGAGCAGGAGGGTGAGCCGGTGGGAAAGGCAGAGGGAGGCTGCTCGATCTGACCTCCCATTCTGCAGGGAGCCCCAAAACTCACCTTTAAACATGAATTAGCATTAAGCATTTCTCAGAATCCTCCTCTCACGGAGCCTCTGGTGCCATCAGCTGGCCATTTTGACTTTAAAGCTGCAAGGTTGCAATCAGCCTTTTCAAGCTCACTGGGCTTGGTCTTTGCCCATTGTTCTGAGACCTGCCTTTTTTTATTTTTTTCATTGATTTCAAAGAGGAATGGAGAGAGATAGAGTGATAGAAACATCAATGATGAGAGAGAATCATTGATCAGCTGCCTACTGTGGATCGAGCCTGCAACCCAGGCAGGTGCCCCAACAGGAAGCCAAACAGCAACCTCCCAACTCATAGGTCGGCGCTCAACCACTGAGCCACGCCAGTCAGGGGCTGTGTTACTGTTTTTAATGGGACTACTAGGACATGTAGAGTTCCACACATGGCCTGCGTTCTGTGTGTACCAGGCAGCGCTGTTCTAGCACATGAATGCATGGGAGCCAGCGTTTCGGGAGTTCGTTCTCCAGGTGACCCAGCTTCTTCATCCCCTTGTTCCCATTTCACCTGCTCTGTGAACTCAAATCAATAATCGTTTCACTTTTTTCTCTAAGTAGCTTCACCCAGCTCTCCTTTCCACCTCCTCCATCTCTTTAACGTCCTGATCTTGGGGTTTTCACCCTGCAGGTAGGACACTCCGACAAGCCTTGCTCAAAGCCCTTACCTGGGCCTTGAAGTGCATCTCCTGGACCAGGAGTACAGCCTCCCCTGGGAGCTGGTTAGAAATGCAGAGCCTCGCCCAGCCAGAGTGGCTCAGTAGTTGAACATCAGCCTGTGAACCAGGAGATCACAGTTTGATTCCCGGTCAGGGCACATGTCCTGGCTGCGGGCTCAATCCCCATGATTCTCTCTCATTGTTGATGTTTCTCTCTCTCCCTCTCCTTTCCTCTCTGAAATCAAATTTAAAAAAATTTTAAATGCAGAGCCTCAGGCCCTGATGACAAGTATCTCCTCTAACAAGGTCCCCGGGCGGGGGGGGGGGGGGGGGGTTTCACCAGACAGGTTGAGTGATGAGGACTTAACCCCCGTTTTTCCTAAAGCCCCATCTTGGGTCCTCTCCACATCTGCTCCTCCAGTTCGATTTGAGGACACTTCTGTGAGGTCAGGACGAGGGGCACCTAACAGAAGCAGGTTGCAAGGCCCGTCGCAGGCCCTGCAGGTGACTTGGGCCATAGAAAAAGCGTGAGAACCACAGCTCCATGGCAGGTCATCCATTCCGGCCCATCCTGATGGACATCTTACCTTATCTTTTATGCTCCAGGCCCCTGGGGCTCCCCATGCCCAGGCCTGGCTCCTGGTAGACATTGAAACTACTATTGAACAAATTACCATTCCCTTTTGTAAAGGCCTGACACCTCTAATCTCTAACTTGGCCGAGTGAGAAGGGACTGGACAATAAGAGGCTTCACCCTGAACTGCACTCAGCAGGGATGCGCTGAAGCTGCCGGAAGTGAGGGTGGGAGCCAGCCCCGGACTGAGCTGCCACTCCCAGGAAGGAATCAGAGCTCAGCTCTCCCCTTGGCTGGTGTCCCCTTACCAGCACTTCTGTCACCTTTGTTTTTCTTTTTTAATGTCACGGTGAGCTCTGATTTCAGCTGCTCTTACTGTTCCCCGAAGATTTGGAGTTGCTCTGCGGGTATCACAAAAACTGAAATCCAATCCGGAATCTTCGCTGAGCTTTGGGGAAGTGGAACCATGGGTGTGTTGTCATTTTCAGCTGTCCTTGGAGTAGCGCCAAAGCCCCAGGAGATACCAGACGTCTTCGGGCTCGCCCGATTGGCTGCTGGGATTGGCTGTTACACAAACCAGCCATTTGCCGGGTGCTGGGGACCTTCCTGAGCTCCAGTTGGTGGGAGACCTTCCAGTGTGCGAGTGGCTCTGAACTGGGACAGAAAGAGAGATGTGAACCACACTGGCCTGACAAAGCACCCTCCTCCCGCCCTTTGTCTCCCACTCGCTTCCTTCCTTTGTCACCGGCCCTGCCCCAGGGCTGTCCCACCCGGTCACATTCACTCACTCACGGAAGAGCAGCCCCAAGAGAGGCGCTGGGCTCCTGTCCGCAAGGAATCTAATCCAGGGACCAGACGCTGTCTGAGGCACAAAGGAGTCCTGTCCTGCGGGTTGAAAGCAGGAAGGGGCATCTGGACAGGGACTTGGTCTCGTTCAGGGAACCGTTTCTAGGAGGTGGATTCTTTGTTGCCGCGACGTCGGGCAGAGTGCCCGGTTTATGGTCTATCGTTTTCTTTCCTGAGGAGAATCCCGGAATATCGCACACACGACAGACAGAGGCAGTGGGTAAAGTAGCGTTTGGTGGCACGCTCCTCCCAGCTATGGAGCCCTCACCACTGCACCTTCCTATCCCCCACGGCTGACTGCGCTGAACACAGGCTTCTCACACGGACGTACGAGGTGGACCACGCACAGTCATGGAAGTGAGAACTAGCACTGGCGTAAGCCTTGCAAAGTGTGTTTTCTGTAGAAATAGTAGAGACAGAAAGGAAGGCTCTCATCCAAAACTGGCCGGGTAGCGCAGTTGGTTAGAGCATCACCCCGATGCACCAAGGCTGCGGGTGCGATCCCCAGTTGGTACGGAGAGGTATCAACAATGAATGCATCAGTAAGTGAACAACAATGGATGTTTCTCTGTGTGTGTGTCTCATCAAGTTTTTTATATGTTTCTTTTTTATTTTTCTACTCATCAATTTTTTTAAAAATATATTATTTCTATTGACTTCAGAGAGGAAGGGAGAGGGAGAGACAGACAGAAACATTAATGATGAGAGAGAACCACCAACAGGCTGCTCCCCACGCCCCCAACCAGGGATCGAGCCCAAAACCCAGGCATGTGCCCCGATGGGGAACCAAACCTTGACCTCCCGGCTCATAGGTCAGTGCTCAAACACTGAGCCGTGCCAGTCAGGCCCCAATCAGGGGGCACAGTCAGTTCTCATTCTCCCTGAGCAACAGGGGTTTTGCTAGAAACCAGCCTCTTGCCTTCAAAGGCCCCACAAAAGCCCCTCTGAGCACTCTTTCCTCTGGCCCTTCGCCTGCCGGGGTGGGTGGCGAGGCTGGGTCTCCATTCTCCAGACGAGAAGCCGCCCAGGCTGTGACTCGCCCCTGTCCACATGCACATCTTTGAAGAGGTAACACCTTTCAGATTCCTGCCTCCCTGACCCTCGAAAGAAAAAGACACCAGAGCCTGTGGGCTCGCCGTGTCCTCACGGCTGCCATCCTCTGCACTTGTCAACTGAGGCCTTCCGCTCAGGCTGCTCCGAGCAGTTCCTTAATTGTGCTGTCAATACCACTTTCTTTTTGACTGTGTCCCCCTCTGGCTAGATAGGCGAGCTCCGTGAAGACAGCCTAGCTCTTTTCCACCTCCCGTGGCTCACAGAACATCGCGCGTGGTGTTTTGAACCTACCCGGCGCCTTCAGGCAAGTCGGCTGGTTCGGTGGGCCTACGCCGCGGACCAGTTGGATCACGTCATTGGCCGTGTGTCTGAGGGACAGGTGTTCCTATTCAGACCCAAGAAACTGGAAACATTGAAAAACAACAGTCATGACGTTGATGGATAGTGATACTTACTGGGTCCCACTGTCTAGGCTCAGCCGTCCACAGGCGATGGCACACCGTCCTACGTGTGGATCTCAGAGACTCCCCAGCACGTAAATAATGTCACCAGACTCAGCTCCCACTTCGGCCTTGATGTGCTGTTTAACACATCAAATCACAGCCCTGTTCTGAGCTTCACACTCAAACCCTCTCCTTCCTGAGAAAACAGCACCTCTGGGGGCCTTGGAGATATTTCTGGTCCAGCCCGGCCGGCGTGGCTCAATGGCTGAGCATCTACCTATGAACCAGGAGGTCACAGTTCTATTTCCAGGCAGGGCACATGCCTGAGTTGCGGGCTCCATCCCCAGTGGGGGGTGTGCAGGAGGCAGCCGATCGATGATTCTCTCTCATCATTGATGTTTCTATCTTTCCCTTTCCCTTCCTCTCTGAAATCAATATATGTATGTATATATACACATATATGTGTGTGTGTGTGTGTGTGTGTATACACACATACATATTTTTAAGTCCATTTAAAAGAAGATATTTCTGGTCTGTTACAAGAAAATATTTACCAGCGGGCAGGATACAGTCGAGTCATGTGTCTTCACTCACTTCCTAATACCCTCCCTACGAGATGGTCCTCATCGTCTGAACTGGGACCTGACGTGAACATGGGAGCAGGGCCTCCCCCTGAAGGGCTGTCTCTTTTGTCTGATCCAGGTCTTCGGCAAGCAGAGCCCCTGTCCATGGGCACCTTGGGCTCATTTCGCTTTCCTGCCCCGCTGACCAGAATATGCCCCGTGCCCTGGGCACACTGGTACAGGGAGAAGCCGGCATTGCTGTCCCTGGGAGCAGGAGTCCCTCGGGTCCAGGTGGCCGGCAAGAAGGACCACCCCGCCCTGCTCTCCCTGGAAGAGAGTGACCTGGAAGAGCAGTTTGTGAAAGGACACGGTCCGGGGGGCCAGGCAACCAACAAGACCAGCAACTGCGTGGTGCTGAAGCACGTGCCCTCGGGCCTGGTCGTCAAGGTAGGGGGAGCGGGCGGGGCTCTCCGAGTTCACCAAAGGCTGGCACATCTCGTCCAGTGCAGCCTCCTCCCAGCCCCTCTGGAGCCAGGCGCTTGCTGCCCTTGAACTTGGCAGGCAGCAGGGTTCTCGTAAAGCATGGCTGCCCGTGACCGCAGCACTGCCGTGGGCGCTCCCTCCCTGAGCAGCCAGCAGGCCCCGGAGGTCTGCGAGCGTCCTCTGCCCTGAGGGCCTGGCTGCTGCCCTCCATCTCCTCCGAGGCCAGTGACACCCACCCCTCTGAGCATGAGATCAGACCAGCCATTCCCAGCGCTCAGAAGCTTGCCCAGCTGCCTGTGGGAGTCTCCCTTCCCTGTAAAACCAAGCTCCCGCATCCCAGCTGCCAGCACACCTGCCCCTCTAGGAAATGGTGCCTCGGTGCAGGGGGACTGCCCGTCCGCTCTGTGTGGCCAGAGGCCCGAGAGGCCGCTGAGCCTTGAGATACGACCAAGAGCACAGCCGGCCTCGGTACCAGCGACACGGCACGGCTGAGGGCCTCGAGAGCTTCAGCTTAGTCCTCACAGGCCCCTCCACCCCTTCTTCCCGGCGGGACAGGTGAGGAACGGGAGGCACAGAGGCTAAGGCACGAGCCAGGCCCTGCCGGCTCTCCCCGAGAGAGCACATCGCTGTCTCCACCACTGCTCTTCCCCCTGGAGGGCCTGTCATCAGGAGCCACAGGGAACAGCCTGAAACCTGACATCACTTTGGTTTAACCTGTTTTATATAACTTTCTCCAAATTCTCTCTCGGTGCCGTTCTCCCGCCCTGACATCCCCGAATTCCCATCAGCCAGCTTCGCCGGCCCGGCCCCCGCGCTCAGGCATCACGTGCGAATGCTGTGGCGACTGATGGGAGAGCCCCGTTTCCCTCTCGGACACAAAGTGCTCATGCCCTGCCCACAGCTAGGCATTTCAGTGTATGTTTTCTACATTATTTGGGATTGTAAGTTATTTAAAGGCTACCGTTGCTTCTAAACAAAACCACACTCCCAGCTAGAAACAGTCGCTGTGAAAGCCACATCCGACATGGGTGTGGGCCAGGGACACGCCCTGGCTTTGTCACCCCTTCGCTGGGATTCTTGCCCAGTGTCCTTGCCTCCCGGGCCCGCCCCCTCTGCAGGGACGAGGTCGCGTGTGCTGAGTCCTGGGGGCCCGAGAACCAGCCTACGGTTCTCGAGTCACCATCCTCCTCTCCCTCCGCAGTGCCATCAGACGAGGTCCCTCGATCAGAACAGGAAGCTGGCTCGGAAAATCCTGCAAGAGAAAGTGGACGTTTTCTACAACGAGGAAAACAGTGTCGCTTACAGAGAAAGACGCGAAGCAGAGAAGAAAAAGCAAGAACGGAAAAAGAGAGCAAAGCAGACCCTGGAAAAGAAGAGGCTGCTGAAGGAACTCTGGGAGGCGAGTAAGAGCTCCACGGCGGGAACAGCGGGTTCGGAGTGAGGAGCCGCCGGAGGCTTTCGAGGAAGAAGGCGGGGTCCCTCACCCGCATGGCTACAGGGCTCCAAAAGCAGTATTTGCGCGGTTTAAAAAGCCTCGAATTGTTTTACATGGCGGATTAAACTGTGGATAGAGATGCACTTAAAATAAACCTGAGAGAAACGCAGGCGGTCCCTGCTGGAGGACAGCGGCTTCTTGGGGGGGTTGGGGCGGAGGCGGGTCGTCGTCGTGAGAAGCAGCTCCGAGGGGCTGCAGGTGGCAGGCAGTTTGATTTCGGGACCTGGGCCGTATCAAGAAGGGTGTCGCCTTATGTCTTTATGCTGTACATTTGGGTACCTTATTATCAAAGGTTAGGGGGGGAAAAGGAGGACTATTTTTTAAAAGTATAACTGTTATGCCCTAACCAGTTTGGCTCAGTGGATAGAGCGTCGGCCTGTGGACTCAAGGGTCCCGGGTACGATTCCGGTCAGGGGCATGTACCTTGGTTGCGGGCACATCCCCAGTGGGGGGTGTGCAGGAGGCAGCTGATCGGTGTTTCTCTCTCATCAATGTTTCTGACTCTTTATCCCTCTCCCTTCCTCTCTGTAAAAAATCAATAAAATATATTTTTTTAAAAAAGTATAACTGTTAAAAAGGTCCATTTCTATGGAGACCTGTGAAATTGAGACAAAGATTAATAACCTGTAGGGTAACATCATCCGCTGGGAGGTCACTGCTCAGTGATACTTAGAGGTCAGCTTAATGTCAGGTTAAGAGAATAAAAACAAGACGGCACCCTAGCCAGTTTGGCTCAGTAGACAGAGCGTCGACCTGCGAACTGAAAGGTCCCAGGTTTGATTCCAGTCAAGGGCACATGCCCGGGTTGTGGGCTCAATCCTCAGTGGGGGACTTGGAGGAGGCAGCTGATCAATGATTTTCATCATGGATGTTTCTATCTCTCCCTCTTCCTTCCTCTCTGAAATCAATAAAAATATGTTTAAAAACAACAAGACAGAAAAGACATGCAGGTTAGTAAGGTACTGGCCCCACTAGCTGCTTGTACCACATGACCAAGTGGCCTCTCCCATGAGGAAGTAGGCGCATCATCCCTGTAGGTGGATTTACAGGCAGGTCTAGAAGGGATGAGCTTCCAGAAATCCGATTTGCTTGTGAGTTTGTTCGACGCCATCACCATCCTTTGCCCTGACCGTTGTTTGGGGCTGTTCAGGCAGGTCCATAGCCTGGCTTGTTGGAACGTTTCACAAGTTCCCATAGAAAACTAACGGGAAAGACCCGTGAGGTGAGCAGGTCCATCAGATATAGCGCCTCCCTCATTTCTGCAGCCAAAGAAACTGACCCCTAAGGCAGTGACCTCGTCCGGAAGCTCAGGTATCCTCCACAAGGCTCTCTAGACCCCTGGGTGCAGTGGCAGGACCCTTCCCCACTCCAACGTCCACCCCAAGGCCGCCAGGTAAGGTACCTGGAACAGCACACAGAAGCCGGTAAGGGCGGGAGAGCTGCAGACAGGAGCTTCCATTCCCATCTCCTTTCCTGCACCTTTTGGCATCTCTGCAGACAAGCTCACTCCCTAGAACCCTTCCTATGGCCAGTCCTGTAAGGGCCGGACTGCCTCGAGCCTGCGAAACTGCCCATACCCCTGGCCAAAGTGAGTGCTCACCCCGTGGGGATTCATAGCACAAGCTCCCTCCACCACTCGGATTCTCACACGCCCAGCACCTCCGGGCGCTGTCCGGCACCAGAGCAGCATGTGAAGTGGCCACGGTGCACGAAAAACAGGTTCCTGCAGCACCCAGGAAACGCTCACAGGATTAGCACCTAAAGACTGAGAAGGTCCTAATTGCAGGGGGCGGGGTGGGTGAAGGGCAAAGTGAGGAACTGCTCTCACTGCTGTTCATGCGTTCTTTCCTGGCACCCCCTGAAGTTCACTGCAATTAAAATGCACCACAACGCAACTTTGCAACTTCCCTGAAGCAAACGCTTCCCCCAGCCCGTTGTGCTAATCACATCTTCCCACCATGCTTCTGGGTCAGCTGGGAAAATGCCACCTTTGACAGGTCTCTCACCTCTCCTTGAGGAGCTGTTTTTAAAAATGCCACTTGAGCCTGGCTGGTGTTGCTCAGTGGTTGAGCCTTGACCTAGGAACCTGGAAGTCACCGTTCCATTCCTTCGCAGGGCACATGCCAGGGTTGTGAGTTTGATCCCCAGTAGGGGGCGTGCAGAAGGCAGCTGAACCATGATTCTCTCTCACTGATGTTTCTTTCTCTATCCCTTCTCTGAAATCAATAAAAAAATAAAATAAAAAAACACATCTTTTTTTAAATGCCACAATTCAAGGAACCCACATCTTGATACCAGCTGTTAATGAAAATAAGCTTTATTACATCAAGTAATAAATACATACAAAGATGCAAACAGTATTAGTCACTTTCTTCCAGATGTTTGGATCCACTGATGGGAAAGGCGGAACTGAAATCTACATACATCCTTAGGGAAAATTTCAGGGGTCCTTGTCAGGCGAGGTTGGAGGTTGAGGTTCGGTAAGTTGCTCTTTCTTCTGTATTTATAACTTGTGCATTTTAAAGATGGATTTCAAAGTACTAATAGTCATGCAAATGCTTAAGCAAAAAAAAAAAAAAAGTTACACTGAGCAGAATTTATAGTGTGTGGCGAACGCGCTGGCTACTAAAGGGCTGCTGCAGCACTCGCTGAAACAAACCCTCAGAGCTGGATCAGCTCAGAAGAGAAACAAAGAACCACGTAACAGAAATGCATCCAAAAGAGAAACACCGGTATCTGGGAGGCCAACTACGGTTTGCGGTGATAGGTAACTGACGTGCATCATGTAAATCAATGCTTAAAAAAACACATAACGCCCTGGGTAGTTCCTAACTAACATGTAAACCTAATAACTGCGAAAATCTCCATCTCAGCGATGGGAGGTTCGGAGCCTGACGAACCCCAGGAGGGGCACAGGGAGGACAAACCAAGCTGTTACCATTTTGAAACCAAGTTTCATCTGTATAGGGGGCATGAGCTGTCACTTCTGGGAAGAAGAGGGAAAGCATTCGCACTGACTCGGAGGCTAGGACCTGGCGTTCCGCTCCGTCTCAGCCAAGCACTCCCGAACCAGCCCTCTCGCGTGGATGATGCCTGGAAGAGAAGAGGCAGGGGCTGGGATCATCCGCCGGACCCAGTCCAGGAGAGGAACCCAGTCCGGGAGAGGAATCCAGTCCAAGAGAGGACTTAGAAGGAGGAAGAGGGTCCTTTCACCACCAGCCAGAGAACCCTCACACTGAACTGGGACCCGCATCCAACCACCCAGGCCTCCACATGGTTTAAACAGCTCTAACGCCCTAGCCAGTTTGGCTCGGTGGATAGAGCGTTGGCCTGCAGACCAAAGGAAACCTGGGTTCAATTCCGATCAAGGGCATGTACAAAGATCAATACGAAAATATCCTCGGGTGAGGATTAACAAAAAATAAAAGATAAATTACACACACACACACTCTCTGAGTGGCCAGATTATTATGACCAGCCAGATTATTATGACCACCCCATCAGTACTTCATTGGGCCTTCAATACTGCAGCAATTCTTTCTGGCATTGACTCCACGAGATGTTGAAAGGTGATGCGAGGAATCTGACACCATGTCTGATGAATAGCACTGTCCAGTTCTGTGAGATATGATGGCTGTGGAACCAGCTGCCTGATGGCTCTTCTAACTTCATCCCACAAATGCTCAATTGGATGGAGATCTGGTGACTGTGGGGGCCACCTGAGCAAGGTAAAGTCTCCCTCGTGTTCTTGAAGCCACTCCTGCACAATACGAGCACTGTGGCATGGCGCATTGTCTTGTTGGAAGAAGCCATCTCCGTTGGGATACGCCATCAACAGGATAGGATGGACTTGATCAGCAACGATACTTAGGGATGTTGTGCTACTCAGACGTTTATAATGATCTGGCCCTTTAGCAACTTCAGCGGGAAATTATAGCTAATTTACCTACAAACGTCAGGTGGTCATAATAATCTGGCCACTCAGTATATATATGTATACTAATAAAAGGGTAATATGCTAATTAGACCGGGAGACCTTCTGGACGTCCTTCCAGACAAAGCCATGGTGGTGGGCTAAGGCAGAGGCAGTTAGGGGCAATCAGGCCAATTGGGGGTAAGCAGACCGGTGGGGGGGTGGGGGGCAGGTGGGGGCAAGCAGGCTGACAGGGGGGCAGTTGGGGGTGAGCTGGCTGGCAGAGGGTGGCAGTTGAGGGCGAGCAGGCCGGAGGGGGGGGCAGGTCGGGGGTGAGCAGGCTAGCAGGGGGGGCAGTTGGGGGCGAGCAGGCTGACAGGGGAGCAGTTGGGGGCATGCAGGCCAGCAAGGAGGGGCAGTTGGGGGCAAACAGTCCGGCAGGCAGAGTGGTTAGGGGCGATCAGGAAGGTGAGCGGTTAGAAGCCAGCGGTCCTAGATTGTGAGAGGATGCAGGCTGTACTGAGGGACACCCCCACGCCCATGTACAAATTTCATGCACCAGGCCCCTAGTATGTGTGTATATATATATATATATATATATATATATATATATATATACACACATACACATACACATATCCCAAAATTCACACAAGAAGTAATTTTGATTAAAAACACAGGTTTATAATTAAAAATTGTAAAGTTTTTATTGATTCATAAAGTATACAGTATAGGGTTATGTATGGAATAGCATATTGGGTAAATGGATTATCATGTCGCGATAGCGAGCACCATTAACTGTTGTTGCCCGAGCAGCCGCATTTTCGAAGAATGGTCCAATGATGCCTCCAGCCCCAAATCCGCACCAAACAGTGACACGTTGTGGATGCATTTGTTTCTCAACAATCACTCGTGGATTTTCTGAACCCCAAATGCGACAATTTTGTCGATTAACCAAGCCATCCACAACGTGTCACTGTTTGGTGTAGATTTGGGGCTGGAGGCATCATCGGACCATTATTCTTCGAAAATGCGGCTGCTTAGGCAATAACAGTTAATGGTGCTCGCTATCGCGACATGATAATCCATTTACCCGATATGCTATTCCATACATAACCCTATACTGTATACTTTATGAATCAATAAAAAATTTACAATATTTATTTTTTTTTAAATATATTTTATTGATTTTTTACAGAGAGGAAGGGAGAGAGATAGAGAGTTAGAAACATCGATGAGAGAGAAACATCAATCAGCCGCCTCCTGCACATCTCCTACTGGGGATGTGCCCGCAACCCAGGTACATGCCCTTGACCGGAATCGAACCCAGAACCCTTCAGTCCACAGGCCGACGCTCTACCCACTGAGCCAAACCAGTTTCGGCACAATATTTAATTATAAACCTGTGTTTTCTATCAAAATTACTTCTTGCGTGAATTTTGGGACATCTTTATATATGGCACTAACATCCCCTCCCCCCTCTCTCTTCTTTAAATGTT